TACTAGATTCACCACTATCAAGTTTCCAACTCTTAACTGCCATTTCAATCATCTCACCAGCTGTGACTATGTCAAAAAAGCTCTTGAAGGAATTCCCTATGAGGTGAGTAAAGAAATGAGCTCTTAAAGTATTCACAAAGAGCACAATTGTCTCATCTTCTTCAATGGGTGGATGTACTTGTACAACTATGTCCCTCCATCTCTGGGCATACTGTCTGAAGTTCTCATCGGATTTCTTTTCCATACTCTGCAGCACCAGTCGATTGGGCCTTATATCTTTTACATGCTTATATTGTTCAAGAAAAGATTTTGCCAAATCTTTCTAAGATTTAATATGAGCTTTACTTAACTGGTTGTACCATCAAATAACCGAACTGTTAAGCTTTCTTGGAAACAATGAATCAACAGTTTGTCATCCCCTATATAACCTGTCATTTTTCTGCAAAACATTGTGATATGAGCAGAGGGACATTTCGTACCATCGAATTTTTCAAAATCAGGAATCTTGAACTTAGGTGGTAACACCAAATCAGGCACCAAACTTAATTCTTTAGCCTCAATTCCATACATGCTAGGGTCCTCCTTCATAGTCCTAATTTCCTCTGCTAATTGTTTCCATTTTTCATCATCTTGTTTGGTTTGTTCTTTTTTACGCTCTTCATCAAGATCAGGAACATCTTCAGTTTGTTGTTGGTTTATAGAGGCACTAGGTAAGTTTATGTTTACTCTTCCTGACTGAGTAGCCATTCCTTGCTGGGCCTTAACATGAGGTGGTGTAAAGCCTGGAGGATACAAAGGTTCCTCAATAACTTTAGCTTTTTGACGATCTGCTCGTGGTGTAAAACCCGGATGGTGCAAAGGTTCTTCAGTAGTAGCAACAGCTGGAGTATTTTCTCGATCCATACTTCTTCCTTGTAACATACTTTCAAATTTCTTCATCATATCATTTTGGGCTTTCATCATTTGTTCATGCATTTCTTCCTGAACTTTCTTGAAGCTTTCTTGCATTTCCAGCTGAGTCCTTTCGAGTTGATCTGTCTTATCATCCATTACCTTTTTCCGAGTATGATATGGATGCTTGTAGTATACTTTTAAAAAGGAAAAACCTTTTTTTGTTAATTTTAAGTTTTTAAAATGAATGCAAAAAATATGCTAAATAAATAAATATAATAATGCAAATATAACACAAATAAAATGCAAATGTATGTATACAAAAAGGTGTTAATAAAAAGTGATCATCTTAAAAAAGATTTTATTGAACACAAAAGTTTCGGTACATCAAACAAAACTTTATATATATGGGATAGATTTAACTCCTAACTTCTTAACAGCCAAATTGCCATTTTTTTGAGAGCTTCTTCAAGATGTCATTTCTTAGCCTCGTCATATTTTGTTTGATCATAAAACTTTTTGTCCATATATGAAAACTTTTCAATTTGATGTCCACTCTTGAATCAATACCTTCTAATCATGTCATGATCATGCAATGCAAACAAAAGCAATTAATACAAACAAGTTAGAGCACAATAAAATGTATCTACAAAATATATAAGAAAAAATAATAAAATGATTAGTACCAATTAATGGAAATAAAAGATTCTATTTATCACAGTATTTATATATAAATTCTAACCTCATGCTTTCTAGTTCCATGTTTTGTTTGGAAAAATTAACCTAACCACATGATTTCTAGTTCGCATGCATTTATTAAAAAAAATAAAAGAAAAGTTAGAGCTTATTTCTCCTTTGTGTACACCTACGGACAAAGCTTCAATATTGTCTTAGATTGGGTGAATTTCTATAGTTTATTATATGCAAGGTTTCGGCTCTAAGAGTAAATGTACTCGAATTGTCATTATTGGTGCCCCCTTGGGCTACCAAACCCTCAATTCTAATCCATTACAGACTTAAGCGGATCGATTTCAATTCGAGGGGACACATTTCTCTATGTCTGACACGGAGAATAAATTCTCACGAAGACATAGAGCATATGAACCTCGAAAGCTACTTGCTAGGTCTGATACGGAGAATAAATTCTCACGAAGACGTCGCTTTCACTCCCACTTAAAAGGAAAAAAGAGCTCGATTATAGAGCTTATATTTATACAATGCACTTGTTGTGTGTGAGGATAAACTCTCAAACCTTGTTAAACAACCATTAAATAAATGAATCATAATATCTGAAAAGTAATCAAAAATAAATGTTAGTATATAAGAATATAAAAAATAAAATAATAAATAAAAAAATGAATTGCAAGAAATCAAAAGAATCGTAAATTCAATAAATATGAATTCTCAATTTCTAACTTATACAGACAATATATAATCAATTTAAGGCTTGACCAGAGTCCCCAGCGGAGTCGCCAAGCTACCGTAACCGATTTTCGCCCGGGCACGAATTTTCCTTGGCTGGAAAAATATGGTGAATAAATGGTTTTTTAATGAAATGTTTTGGAGTCGTCATCGAATCTTTTGGGTTAGGTAGGTCAAATACCTAAAAAATCATCTTTTAAAAGAGTTTTTAAGAAAACACTATTTAAAAGATAAAATCAGTCTGCGTATAACCAAAAATTCATTCTTTTTAGTAATAAAAAGGGATTCGTGGTCGGTTACGTTTGGGGAAGGATTAACACCCCCACAACACCCAAAATTGGTACCCGTCGATTATATATTATCTTTATTAGTGGAAGTCTAAGAATTCGAATATAAATTTAATTTACTATCTTATTATTCTAGTTTCAATCAGATAATTCTAAAGAAAATGATTTTTATAAAACTGAAGTAAATATTTATATTTTGTAGTGTTTTATAAATATGGTATTTATTTATTTAAAAATATCAGAAAAGAACATCTAGTTACTTTAAGACAACCCTTTTATTTGATATAAAAAAATAAAAAAAATATTAATAAGAATATGATAATTTTTCCTAAATATTAATTTAAATAAAGTAAATATATATATATATATATATATATATATATATATTTTAAACATGACTAATAATTACCAATATATTCTCATGTTGAATACATTACTACATGTGCGTGACTAATAATAAAATATATTATAATAAAGTAAATATATATATTTTAAACAAAATCATCTTTGAATACATTACTACATGAGTGACTAATAATTTAAAAAGTCAAGAGTAGTTGAATAACTTTAATAACATACTATTCCCATGTTGATTTTATTATCAATATATTTATATAATATAATTTTTATCACCTAACATCTGTAATCAATAAACAAAACATTTAATATAGGTATTAATAGTAATTTAATCATAATTAATTATAAGGAATTAAAACAAAAAATTATTAAAAATATAGGGGATAAAAATTAAAATACTAAATTAAAAATATTGAAAAATAAAGGAGAAATAAAAAAATATAAAATAAAATAAAATGGTGACCAAAATAAAAGAAATTAAAAAATAAGATTAATTTACAAAATATATAAATTAATAGCCCTAATTCAAAATATAATAAAATATAAGTATTAACAGTGTAATTTATCCCTAAATAATATTCGAATTAAATTATAAATTATTAAAATCTAAGGGATTAAATATAATGTTTACCCTAAATATATATAAATACTAGCAGAGACTAAAATATAGATAAAATAAAATGCGAAGTCCAAATTAAAAGGCACAAAAACATGATTTTAGTGACTAATTTGAAATATTACAAATTTAAGGGACCACGAAAAAGGTTTTCTCATAATGAAATTACAAAAACACTCCCTCCCCAAAACGACGTAGTTTTGATTTGGGTATAAATAGGCCTTAAATGGCCATTTCAAGTTATTCTTCTTCATTTTTCTATTTTGCTTCTCTCTTTAAGGAGAGAGAAGCTCTCCCTTCTCTCTAAATTCCCTCACCAGAGAGAGCTCTGACCATCGGTCGGTCACTATTCTAGCCACCGCTGGTCACTATTCACCGTCGTTGGTTACTATTCCGATCACTATTCATGATTGAAAAAAATACATCAAATCGTAGATCGAAACACCTTAAACCACTCTCTTTTTTCCTAAAAGTCTTTCAATCAGCCTATATCTAAGATTTTACCATCGGTAAAATGGTTTCCGACGACTTTTTAGCTTCGACAAAGGTATGTTTCTTCTCTCTTTTGTTTCCTTGCTTTTAAATGGCTACTGCTGGTTATTCGCAGCTTTCTTTGTTGGTTGCTTCCTCCTTGCTCCCTGTCCTCTTTCTTTGCAGGATTTCAAGGCTTTTTATAGGCCTCGATGAGCTACTATTCTGCTGAACCCTTCGGTGAGTAACCAGATCTACGATGGTGACTCACCATAGCTTCGATGAGTTGTGCGGTCCTCTTTGCGTCTTCTGGAGCCTTCGGTGGCATGGTAGAATTTAGTTTGGGAATATAGCGGCGGAGCAGTTGGATGTAGGCGGCGGAGCAGTTGGAGGCAGCACCAAAGTCTCCCTAGGGTTGGTGAACTCTAGGATATCTGCTGGATTCATTTTGGGCCGTTGGATCTCTCCAGATCCAACGGTTGAGCTTGTTGGCTGCTGAAGAATCAGGTTTTTTTTTGGGTCGGATCTGGTCTTGTTGGGCCTTCGGATTATTTGGGCCTGGATCATTTTTGGGCCTGACTCGGGTTGAACTTGTAAACGGACCTCCGGGTCCTGATTTGTAAATATCTACTATAATAATATTTAGTATTTATTAATAATATTTATAATAATAATACAATAATAATATATAAATAACAATATAAATAATAACATGACGAAAATGACTGTCAACAATACTCATACAAGTTCACATCTCAAAAGGGAACTCTACCGATTCTATAAACATGGTCTACATTTATTAGGGTATACTCTTCAACATAACTTTCGTAAATTATTTCTTTGAAAATTGACTAAAAAAGGACCTTTAGACTATTCTATAAGTACAATCTAAACTTGGAAAGCACAAATATATAGAACAAAGAAGTAGCAAATAAATAAAGCAAAGCAGTGCATACCGTTCTTTGCTGATCTGGAGTCGCATTTGCAAGGGCTGAGGCCAAGGCTCCTATCAGATGAAGTAATAAAAACATACGAACAAATGTACCAAAGATATTACAAAGTCCAAGCAGTGTTGAAACAACCTGCTGCTGCATTAATGGAACTGGTTGCTGACTTTGCTGCACAGTCCCAGACCTTGTACCACCAGGATGCTGACCCTGCTGGACTTGCTGAAGCGCTGGCACAAAGAAATTTGGTATGGGATCCCCACCAGGCCTCATACCAGGGACAAGCTGCTGTTGATATCCAAATCCAGGCTGACAAAAAAAAAACCCATAAACAAAACCATTAGTTTGAAGAAGATTTACAAATTATATTACATCGATTTTTTCAGGATGTTAAAATATACCTCCCAATACTATCAATACCAAGCAAGAAATGCAAGCAAAGAATAACTACCTGAGGAAACATAGTCAGAGGCCCTTGACCATAGAATATTTGCTGCCCAACACCTGGACCACCAGGTGGGTATATCGGCATACGTGGAGCAGCTGAAGGTGTCATTGCCACGGGTCGCACTTGAGAAAACTGAGCCTGTAAAAGGTGCAGCACACTTTAGTGACATAACGAATCAAAACCATCCTTTCTCCCCATTACATTTTACCTAAAAGCAAATATCAATTCATACCTGTAACCTGGCTCTCCTATCTTCCTTTCTTTGAGCTAGTGCAACATACAGAGGTTTGCTGACAATCATTTTGCCATTCATCTCCGCAAGCTGTCATAACAGGGGAACGAAAAACTGTTAGGCTTAAGATATGATTGTGGGAGTAGGGACATCATTATCAACTCACAGCTCTGGATGCTTCTTCTGGAGTTGAAAATGCAACAAACCCTGATCCTTTACTTACTCCACTAGGATCTCTCATGACCTGTTACATTTGAATAATAGACTTCAGCCGAACAATTACTAGAACTGATATAACATTACTCTCCAATAGAACAGGCTAACCATGCATGATGTTATGGTACCATATTGAGAGAAACGCTCTTTAAGTTTTTCGTCGCTTATGCTGTCATCCAAATTCTTAACATACAAGTTAGCTCCTTGAAATTTATCTGCTGCCTCTTTCATTGACTGCTCAAATCGAAGTTTCAGATCAATTTCCCTTTCAGATTTCTTTTGAGCTTTCCCAACATACCACTCCTTATCATCAAATTTCTTTCCATTTAGAGACTCCACAGCTCTAGCAGCATCATCTGCATTCTCAAAGTTGACGAACCCAAAGCCCTTGGATTTTCCGTCTGGTTCTCTCATCACCACAGCACAAGTGATTGGACCAAATTAACCAAAAATGGTTTTCAAATCTTCATCACTTGTGGATTCTGACAGATTCTTCTCATAGACATTGTTAAATTTCATGTTGCTAATAGAACCATCTCTTTCCTGTTTGCGAACAAAGGGGCCCACATAGACTTGCTTATCGTTCAACAGCATACCGTTCAACTTCTCTATTGCCTTTTGGGCAGATTCCTCATTGTTAAATTGGACAAAGCCATAACCTTCTGACTAGCCAGAGGCGTCTGTGGCTACCTTGCAAGAGAGAATGTTCCCAAATGCAGAAAACGTATCATGCAGAGCTTTGTGGTCGATTCACTTATCCAAATTCTGTCAGATTCAACAAGCACAACACACAAACATACAATAATCCATATGATATTTCTGAAGCACAGCTTATAAAACAAAACAGCATATACAACCACAAGATTGTCAAATTTTTATTACCTTGATAAAAATATTCCCAGAGCCACTTTTACAAATACTAGGATCACGATTAGAATACATGATCCTGATAGGCTTTCCATTCAGATTGAAGATACTAATTTTTTATCCATATTATTATTATTATTATTATTATTATTATTATTATTATTATTATTATTATTATTATTATTATTATTATTATTATTATTATTATTATTAAATATATATTAAATATAAATAAATAATTAATTACAGACCAATTACAAATGGACCGGCCCAGTTACAAACAAACCAGAACCGGTCCAGAACAAACCAGAAACCCTAAACATTTGGGGGTTTCAGTTAGGGTTTCCTAACCCTAATCTAGCCGGCCGCTTCATCACAGCCGTTAGATTCTCTGATTTGAAGAAGAAAGATCTATTGGGTTTTTACAATTGAAGAAATACTCAATTCACCAATCTGAAATCAAATAAATTAACATTCATGCATCATATTTAGGCATTTTCAAAAATAGATGCATTTTCATTCATTTTTATTCTTGTTGAATTTTTAACAGGAATTTCAAAGATTTTAGCAAAGATTCAAATCTATCATTTGATAGATTAGCTTTTCCAGAAAAGGTTCATAATGAGAAGAACTCATCTGAAGAAGGAAGAAGAAGTTCATAATGAGAAGAATTTGTTCAACCTTTTACCTGAATTCATCAAATTGATGGATTATTTTTTTCAGAGAAAGTTCATAATGAGAAGAACTCATCTGAAGAAGGAAGAAGAAGTTCATAATAAGAAGAATTTGTTCAACCTTTTGGTTTGAATTCATCATTTGATGGATCAACATTGCCAGGTAGAGTTCATAATGAGAAGAACTCATCATCTGAAGAAGGAAGAAGAAGTTCATAATAAGAAGAATTTGTTCAACCTTTTGGTTTGAATTCATCATTTGATGGATCAACATTGCCAGGAAGAGTTCATAATGAGAAGAACTCGTCATCTGTAGAAGGAAGAAGAAGTTCATAATGAGAAAAATTTGTTCAACCTTTTATCTGAATTCATCACTGGATGGATTATTTTTTCCAAAGAAAGTTCATAATGAGAAGAACTCATCTAAAGAAGGAAGAAGAAGTTCATAATGAGAAGAACTTGTTCAACTTTTTGGTTTGAATTCATCATTTGATGGATCAACATTGCCAGGAAGAATTCATAATGAGAAGAACTCATCTGAAGAAGAAAGAAGAAGTTCATAATAAGAAGAACTTGTTCAACTTTTTGCATAATTCTATCACAGAAGGAGATAGATTAGCATCAGCCTTTCTAGAGAAAGTTCATAATGAGAAGAACTCATCAAGAGCTTATTCAACCTTTTGAATGACTCTATCACAGAAAGGAGTTCATCATCATCCCCAGCAGAAAGTTCATAATAAGAAGAACTCATCTGGAGAGAGAGAAGAATTTATTCAATATATCCATTATGATCAAAGTAAAGCCAAATGGATAAAAAATTTTATTATCTTTTCATCTTTGCCCTATTCTTGTTAACACAAGAATGAGCAAAGAGGTGCAGCTGAAGATACTAATTTTTTATCCATATTATTATTATTATTATTATTATTATTATTATTATTATTATCATTATTATTATTATTATTAAATATATATTAAATATATATAAATAATTAATTACAAGCTAATTACAAATGGACCGGCCCAGTTACAAACAAACCAGAACCGGTCCAGAACAAACCAGAAACCCTAAACATTTGGGGGTTTCAGTTAGGGTTTCCTAACCCTAATCTAGCCGGCCGCCTCATCACAGCCGTTGGATCTGAGAGATCCAACGGTCCTCAGATATGCCAGAAGAAACCCTAGGGTATCATTACCCTAGGGCCACGCGGCGCCGCCCCAGTTTCCAATCACCGCTGCCGACACTCTTTCGCCGCCTCCGCCGCTGCCACGTCTCAAATGAAGACTCCAGAAGACCAGATGCCCTCCACACGCCATGGCTACGGGGTGAGTCACCACTGGTAGTCCGGTGACTCACCGAGACCCCATCTTCGGACCGGTCCGATGACCACACCGGTGGTGGCTATAAAAGCCACCACCCCAACCTGAAAGAAAAAAAAACAGACACGGAGACAGAGAAAAAAGAGAGAGACAGAACCGGAGAAAGAAAAAAACAGAGAAGGAGAAAAGAAAAAAACTACTAACCAACGATCTCAGTCAAACATCCCACAACCAGAAACAAAAAAAGAAGGAAAAAGGAAGAAGAGAAACTTACCGAGGAAGCCCCGACCACCGGATCTCACCGGAACCTTCGAAACACCGAAGGTACTTTTGTAGATTCGCTCCGATTGGGAGCTTTTTAGGAGAAAATACCACCGGAACCGTCCTTAGGACGGTCCGATCTATCTATTAGTGTAAAAATAAATTTTTCCGGCCACCGGATGCGGTGGCCGGCGGTGACAGTCACGGCGGCAGACGGTTGCTGTCCGGTGACCGGCTTCCCTCCGATGAGGGAAGCTAGAGAGAAGGCAGAGAACAAATTTGTTCTCTCTGTTAGAGAGAGAACAGGGAAAATGAAATGAGAAGCTGGCCCTACGGGCCAGCCGGTTTGGGTTATAAATACCCTCTCCCAAACGACGTCGTTTCGGGGAGGGTATTTCTGTAATTTCACAAAGGGTAAATCCCATCCGAAGCCATTGCAATTTGTAATTTTTACATTCTAGTCACTAAATCGATTTTATAATACTTTTAATTTGATCTCGAAATTTTAATTTTATTTATTTTAGTCCTTCATATTAAAATAATATATTTAGGATAAATAACAGATTTAATCCCTTAATTTTGATAAATAATATTTTAATCCCTAGTTAATATTTTTAATTTATTTTATTATAATATCCGAATTTTAGATAATTTTATTTTAGTCACTAAATTATGAAATAAGAAAATAGCTTGATTAATCCCTGTAATTTTGATTAATTATGAATTAGGTTTGTCAATTTTAATTTCACTATATTTTAGTCATTTATTTTAAGTATTTTTATTGCTTTTAAATATATATTTAGAATTGTATTCTTTTACTTGTTTATATATTTAAATGTTGTTATAAGTATATAATAAATAAATATTTATTTTAAATAAATTATTTTAATATTTAGTTTTCAATATCAAAGAACAGGACAGTCTTAAAACAACTGGATGTCCTATTCAGATATTTTAAAATTAAACAATATTATTTAAATTAATATCAAAGAAAAGAGCTGTCTTAAGGCACCTAGAAGTTCTTTTCTGATATTTTTAAATAAATAAATATTTTTTATATAATTTTGAAATAATAGGATTATAAATTAAATATATTTTTGAATTTTAATAATAGAGACAATTTATAATTAAAAAGTACCAATTTTTGGGCGTTGTAGGGGTGCTAATCCTTCCCTAAACGTAACCGACCACGAATCCCTTTTTATAAAAAAAAAGAACGAATTTTTGGTTATAAAACGCAGATCAGTTCACTTTTTTTAAAATGGATGTTTTTTAAAACTCTTTTTAAAAAAAATAATAATTTTTAGGTATTCGACCTACCTGATCCAAAAGGCCGATGGCGACTCACAAATTATTTTCAAAATTATTTATTCACATCAATTTCCCCGTCAAATAAATATTTCGTGCCCGGACGAAAACCGGTTACGACAGCTTGGCGACTCTGCTGGGGACCGAACCCAGATAAAACAAGAATTGATAAATCTCCTTCAAGAGTTCAAAGATATCTTTGCCTGATCTTATCAAGATATGCCTGGTTTAAGCATAGATATAGTGATACACAAGCTTCCAATCAATCCAGAATATAAACCGGTCCAACAAAAGCTTAGACGAATGAGGCCAGAAATGTTGTTGCAAATCAAAGAAGAAGTGATGAAACAAATCAATGCAGGTTTCCTACAGGCATCTAAATACCCAGAATGGGTAGCCAACATTGTTCCCGTACCAAAGAAAAATGGGAAAGTTCAAATGTGTGTGGATTACAGAGATCTCAACAAAGCTAGTCCGAAAGATAGCTTTCCATTACCCCACATAGACACACTGGTGGACAATACTGCAGGGCACGCATGGTTTTCATTTATGGATGGATTTTCAGGATATAATCAGATAAAAATGAATCCTGAAGACATGGAAAAAACAACATTTATAACCATGTGGGGCACATTCTGTTATAAAGTAATGCCATTTGGATTGAAAAATGCAGGGGCAACATATCAAAGAGCCATGGTAACTTTGTTTCATGACATGATGCACAAAGAGATTGAAGTATACGTAGATGACATGATTGCCAAATCCCGAACTGAAGAAGAACATATTCAAAATTTGAGGAAGCTTTTCCAGAGATTGAGGAAGTATCAATTAAAGCTCAACCCCGCTAAATGCACTTTTGGGGTAACTTCCGGAAAACTTTTGGGATTTGTGGTCAGCAAAAAAGGAATCGAGATTGATCCAGATAAAGTCAAAGCAATTCAAGATCTTCCACCACCCAATACAAAAAAAGAAGTTCGAGGCTTTTTGGGAAGATTAAATTATATATCTCGGTTCATTTCTCAATTAACTGACAAATGTGATCCAGTGTTCAAATTACTTCGAAAGAACAATCCTGAAGTTTGGAATGAAGAATGTCAAGAAACTTTGGATATTATTAAGAAATATTTATCTAATGCCCCAATTTTAGTATCACCAATGCCTGATAGACCATTAATTCTCTACTTAACGGTCTTCGAAAATTCGATGGGATGTGTACTAGGACAGCATGATGAATCAGGAAGGAAAGAAAAAACTATTTATTATTTGAGCAAGAAATTTACCGATTGTGAAATTCGATACCCACCAATACAAAAATTATGTTGTGCCTTAGTGTGGACTACTCGAAGACTCAGACAATATATGTTATACCATACTACTTGGTTGATATCAAAACTTGATCCTTTGAAATTCTTAATGTAATCACCAGCTTTGACAGGCAGAATGGCTAGATGGCAGATGTTATTATCTGAGTTTGATATTGTATATGTCAACCAAAAATCGATAAAAGGAAGTGTCATAGCTGATTTTCTGGCCAGTCGTGTATAAAATGATTATCAGCCTTTGAACTTCAATTTTCCCGATGAAGATCTGTTGTGCATATCCATGAATGAAGAAGTCAGAACAAATGATGAATTTGCAACTTGGAAGCTTTATTTTGACGGAGCATCTAATGCTTTGGGACGAGGAATTGGGGCAGTGTTAATTTCTCCAGAAAATATTTATTATCCCTTTACAAGCAGACTGGAGTTCTTTTGCACCAATAACATGGCAGAATACGAAGCTTGTGTCATGGGGTTGAAAGCAGCTATAGAAAGAAAAATCAAATTTCTCAAGATATATGGAGATTCATCTTTGGTGGTGTATCAATTGCGAGGAGAATGGGAAACAAAAGATCCCAAATTGTTGGAATACCGAAATTTTACCCTCGAATTAGTGAAAGAATTTGAGAGAGTTACCTTCAATTATCTCCCTCGAGAAGAAAATCAAATGGCAGATGCTTTGGCTACATTAGCTGCTATGTTTCAAGCAACCAAGAAAGTTGATATGATGCCAATCAAAATGCAAGTATATGAAATTCCTGCACATTGTTATAGTGTGGAAGAAGAGGTAGATGGTAAACCATGGTATCATGATATTCTGCAATATATCAAAAATCAAAGTTATCCACCAAATGCATCGGAAATTGATAAAAGAACTTTGCGAAGAATGGCTGCTGGATATTTTCTTGATGGCGAGATTATGTATAGAAGAAGCAATGATCAAATGTTATTGAGATGTTTAAATACCAGCGAAGCTCGAAACGTCATTGAAGAAGTACACAGTGGAATATGTGGAACACATGCAAATGGTCTTTCCATGGCTAGAAAAATAATGAGATATGGATATTATTGGGCTACTATGTACACAGATTGCATTGATTATGCAAGGAAATGTCATAAATGCCAGATATATGCAGACAAGATTCATGTACCCCCATCTCCTTTACATGTAATGACAGCACCCTGGCCATTTTCTATGTGGGGAATAGATGTCATTGGGGCAATCACACCAAAAGCATCGAATGGACATTGCTTCATCCTTGTGGCAATTGATTATTTTACCAAATGGGTTGAAGCTGCTTCATATACCAATATTAAGAGGTCCACAGTCTGCAAATTCATAAAGAAAGAGATAGTTTGCCGGTATGGCCTACCAGAAAGGATCATTACAGATAATGCTCTGAACCTGAACAACAAAATGATGACCGAACTTTGTGCACAGTTTAAGATCAAACATTCAAATTCAGTGGCATATCGTCCAAAGATGAATGGGGCAGTTGAAGCAGCAAATAAGAACATCAAGAGAATCATTACAAAGACCACTGAAACTTACAAAGATTGGCACGAGAAGTTATCTTTTGCTCTATATGCATACCGAACTACTGTTCGAACATCTACTGGGGCAACGCCTTTTTATTTAGTCTACGGGATGGAAGCAGTCTTACCAATTGAAGTTGAGATTCCATCGCTTCGAATATTGAGAGAAATAAAATTGGATGAATCTGAATGGATCCAAGCTAGATTTGATCAATTGAACCTTATTGAGGAGAAAAGATTGAAAGCTATTTGCCATGGACAGATGTATCAAAAACGGATGATGAAGTCTCATGACAAAAAAGTACATCCAAGAGAATTCCAAGAGGGTGATCTAGTACTAAAAAAGATCTTACCTATACATAAAGATTTCCGTGGGAAATGGATGCCTAATTGGGAAGGGCCATACGTTGTAAAAAAGGCCTTTTCCGGAGGAGCATTGATCTTAGCAGAAATGGATGGAAAAATTCTGAAAAATCCAATAAACTCGGATTCTGTCAAGAAATATTATGCTTGAAGAAAAAAATGAAGGAAAAAAAAAGAAAAAAAAAAGAAAGAAAAAAAAGAAAGAAAAAAAGAAAAAAAGGGGGTCAAGGTGAAAACCCGCAAAGGGCATCTTGTAACCAAAGGGAGGATTTGAGTTGAAAACCTGAAAAGGCGGCTCAAATACAGGTTGATATTAGGCATCTGGCAATTGAACCCTCTTAAGATTTTGACAGTTTGGAAGAAACTTCGCATCTACAAGCATTTCGACAACGTTTGAGATCTTCCAGACAAAAGCTTACATCATTTCTCTAAATTGTGTCAACTTGATTAATTTAGAAATACTTATGCTTATAATATTTTGAGACATTTGAATTTTTATCATTCTTATGCTTGCCAGAACATTGAATACAATTCTATCTATTTCAAGTTCAATTTATTTGAGATTCAATTTATTTTTGAAAATTCAATTTATTCTGTTATATTGAATTAACATAATTTTGAAATAATTTAAAGATTTTTGAATATTACTTTATGTTAATACCTTTTAAAAGCATGGAATATAAAGTAAGCAAATCATCACCATCTTAAAACCATGAACATTAAGATTGTTACACGGGATGCTACCGACAACAAGGTCGAATCCGCCAAATCTACTCATCAATTGCTCCAACCGATTACCATTCAGTTTCTTGCACATCTGTTTTCAAAGATATACTAAGACAATAGAAGGCGATCTTTGCAGCACTGATTCCAGCAAAAAGAAACAAGACATTGATATTACTGGGAAACATGTCTGTATACAGATCCTTGTATATGATTTTTAAGGAAACCTAGAAGCATTTCCACCTCATCAGGTTCAAGTGGAGCAACTTTATTCCTTCCAACTCATACTAGATTCCATTTTCAGCACTCATTAAGAACATACTTCTGAACACTCGAAGTTGGCTCATTGTCATAAGTTTCAAGAGCTTTACAGATCCTTTCTGTCAATTTGGTACTTCTTGTACATGTTTATAAACGGTTCAACTTTGTTTTTGGATCACATGAAAGCCATCATTTCTTTGTCAATGGAAAAACATCAGCACATGGAGGAAGCAGAATAAGAGAAACTCTGTTCTTAATTGGCAGAATTATGAATATAGTCCTTTTCAGTGTAGTATGATGGAAATGCTTCGAATCTACAAATTCTGGCTCTACATCGAATAAGCATTATGATATCCTAGTCCAAACATTAACTGGAACAAATATAATGTGCTCAATAGCATCTTCTGGAAGTGTTCTTTGAGTTATCTGATCTGGTTAGACAGAACCAATCATTGAATTTGGAAGAATAATGTGCTCAATAGCATCTTCTGGAAGTGTTCTTTGAGTTATCTGATCTGGTTAGACAGAACCAATCATTGAATTTGGAAGAATAATGTGCTCAATAGCATCTTCTGGAAGTGTTCTTTGAGTTATCTGATCTGGTTAGACAGAACCAATCATTGAATTTGGAAGAATAATGTGCTCAATAGCATCTTCTAGAAGTGTTCTTTGAGTTATCTGATCTGGTTGGACAGAACCAATCATTGAATTTGGAAGAATAATGTGTTCAATAGCATCTTCTGGAAGTATTCTTTGAGTTATCTGATCTGGTTTGGACAGAACCAATCATTGAGTTTGGAAGATGAATTTGTCAATAGCATCTTCTGGAAGTGTTCTTTGAGTTATCTGATCTGGTTAGACAGAACCAATCATTGAATTTGGAAGAATAATGTGCTCAATAGCATCTTCTGGAAGTGTTCTTTGAGTTATCTGATCTGGTTAGACAGAACCAATCATTGAATTTGGAAGAATAATGTGCTCAATAGCATCTTCTGGAAGTGTTCTTTGAGTTATCTGATCTGGTTAGACAGAACCAATCATTGAATTTGGAAGAATAATGTGCTCAATAGCATCTTCTGGAAGTATTCTTTGAGTTATCTGATCTGGTTTGGACAGAACCAATCATTGAGTTTGGAAGATGAATTTGTCAATAGCATCTTCTGGAAGTGTTCTTTGAGTTATCTGATCTGGTTTGGCAGAACCAATCATTGAATTTGGAAGATGAATTTGCCAATAGCATCTTCTGGAAGTGTTCTTTGAGTTATTTGATCTGGGTTGGTAGGAATTACAGAACCAATCATTGTAATTGAAAGATGAAATGCATGATCGTCTTCATTAAGAAGATTCTTTTCAAGCTTCTTCTGCTTCTTCCTTTTCAAAAATCATAGCCCAAGTTTTGCCTTTGCTTGTAATTGGGATCATTGCATAATGACTTCCTATCTTTTACCAGAAGAAGTGCATCAGCAGCCTTAGTCATTTAAGCAGCACATATAAAATTTGCCAATTCTGCAATTGATGAATCTGGACCACATTTCTCCAGGGCTATTAAAGTTTCAGCATCTGAGAATCCCATTTTTGTCAAGTATAACAGTTTATTCTCCTCATCAGAATCAGAATTCAAGATTTCTCGGTATCTGTGAAATCATCTTGAAAGGTCACTTCATAATTAGATGAGTTGTTATCAGAATCAACATGTTGCCTGAATGCAAGCTTTTCAAGAGCTTATACTATTGAGTTTTATTCTCAAGAGGTTTTGTGACATAATATCTACATCTACATTTGTCAAATATGATAGATTCTCTGATTTGAAGAAGAAAGATCTATTGGGTTTTTACAATTGAAGAAATACTCAATTCACCAATCTGAAATCAAATAAATTAACATTCATGCATCATATTTAGGCATTTTCAAAAATAGATGCATTTTCATTCATTTTTATTCTTGTTGAATTTTTAACAGGAATTTCAAAGATTTTAGCAAAGATTCAAATCTATCATTTGATAGATTAGCTTTTCCAGAAAAGGTTCATAATGAGAAGAACTCATCTGAAGAAGGAAGAAGAAGTTCATAATGAGAAGAATTTGTTCAACCTTTTACCTGAATTCATCAAATTGATGGATTATTTTTTTCAGAGAAAGTTCATAATGAGAAGAACTCATCTGAAGAAGGAAGAAGAAGTTCATAATAAGAAGAATTTGTTCAACCTTTTGGTTTGAATTCATCATTTGATGGATCAACATTGCCGGGTAGAGTTCATAATGAGAAGAACTCATCATCTGAAGAAGGAAGAAGAAGTTCATAATAAGAAGAATTTGTTCAACCTTTTGGTTTGAATTCATCATTTGATGGATCAACATTGCCAGGAAGAGTTCATAATGAGAAGAACTCGTCATCTGTAGAAGGAAGAAGAAGTTCATAATGAGAAAAATTTGTTCAACCTTTTATCTGAATTCATCACTGGATGGATTATTTTTTCCAGAGAAAGTTCATAATGAGAAGAACTCATCTAAAGAAGGAAGAAGAAGTTCATAATGAGAAGAACTTGTTCAACTTTTTGGTTTGAATTCATCATTTGATGGATCAACATTGCCAGGAAGAATTCATAATGAGAAGAACTCATCTGAAGAAGAAAGAAGAAGTTCATAATAAGAAGAACTTGTTCAACTTTTTGCATAATTCTATCACAGAAGGAGATAGATTAGCATCAGCCTTTCTAGAGAAAGTTCATAATGAGAAGAACTCATCAAGAGCTTATTCAACCTTTTGAATGACTCTATCACAGAAAGGAGGTCATCATCATCCCCAGCAGAAAGTTCATAATAAGAAGAACTCATCTGGAGAGAGAGAAGAATTTATTCAATATATCCATTATGATCAAAGTAAAGCCAAATGGATAAAAAAATTTATTATCTTTTCATCTTTGCCCTATTCTTGTTAACACAAGAATGAGCAAAGAGGGGCAGCTGAAGATACTAATTTTTTATCCATATTATTATTATTATTATTATTATTATTATTATTATTATTATTATTATCATTATTATTATTATTATTAAATATATATTAAATATATATAAATAATTAATTACAAGCCAATTACAAATGGACCGGCCCAGTTACAAACAAACCAGAACCGGTCCAGAACAAACCAGAAACCCTAAACATTTGGGGGTTTCAGTTAGGGTTTCCTAACCCTAATCTAGCCGGCCGCCTCATCACAGCCGTTGGATCTGAGAGATCCAACGGTCCTCAGATATGCCAGAAGAAACCCTAGGGTATCATTACCCTAGGGCCACGCGGCGCCGCCCCAGTTTCCAATCACCGCTGCCGACACTCTTTCACCGCCTCCGCCGCTGCCACGTCTCAAATGAAGACTCCAGAAGACCAGATGCCCTCCACACGCCATGGCTACGGGGTGAGTCACCACTGGTAGTCCGGTGACTCACCGAGACCCCATCTTCGGACCGGTCCGATGACCACACCGGTGGTGGCTATAAAAGCCACCACCCCAACCTGAAAGAAAAAAAAACAGACACGGAGACAGAGAAAAAAGAGAGAGACAGAACCGGAGAAAGAAAAAAACAGAGAAGGAGAAAAGAAAAAAACTACTAACCAACGATCTCAGTCAAACATCCCACAACCAGAAACAAAAAAAGAAGGAAAAAGGAAGAAGAGAAACTTACCGAGGAAGCCCCGACCACCGGATCTCACCGGAACCTTCGAAACACCGAAGGTACTTTTGTAGATTCGCTCCGATTGGGAGCTTTTTAGGAGAAAATACCACCGGAACCGTCCTTAGGACGGTCCGATCTATCTATTAGTGTAAAAATAAATTTTTCCGGCCACCGGATGCGGTGGCCGGCGGTGACAGTCACGACGGCAGACGGTTGCCGTCCGGTGACCGGCTTCCCTCCGATGAGGGAAGCTAGAGAGAAGGCAGAGAACAAATTTGTTCTCTCTGTTAGAGAGAGAACAGGGAAAATGAAATGAGAAGCTGGCCCTACGGGCCAGCCGGTTTGGGTTATAAATACCCTCTCCCAAACGACGTCGTTTCGGGGAGGGTATTTCTGTAATTTCACAAAGGGTAAATCCCATACGAAGCCATTCCAATTTGTAATTTTTACATTCTAGTCACTAAATCGATTTTATAATACTTTTAATTTGATCTCGAAATTTTAATTTTATTTATTTTAGTCCTTCATATTAAAATAATATATTTAGGATAAATAACAGATTTAATCCCTTAATTTTGATAAATAATATTTTAATCCCTAGTTAATATTTTTAATTTATTTTATTATAATATTCGAATTTTAGATAATTTTATTTTAGTCACTAAATTATGAAATAAGAAAATAGCTTGATTAATCCCTGTAATTTTGATTAATTATGAATTAGGTTTGTCAATTTTAATTTCACTATATTTTAGTCATTTATTTTAAGTATTTTTATTGCTTTTAAATATATATTTAGAATTATATTCTTTTACTTGTTTATATATTTAAATGTTGTTATAAGTATATAATAAATAAATATTTATTTTAAATAAATTATTTTAATATTTAGTTTTCAATATCAAAGAACAGGACAGTCTTAAAACAACTGGATGTCCTATTCAGATATTTTAAAATTAAACAATATTATTTAAATTAATATCAAAGAAAAGAGCTGTCTTAAGGCACCTAGAAGTTCTTTTCTGATATTTTTAAATAAATAAATATTTTTTATATAATTTTGAAATAATAGGATTATAAATTAAATATATTTTTGAATTTTAATAATAGAGACAATTTATAATTAAAAAGTACCAATTTTTTGGCGTTGTAGGGGTGCTAATCCTTCCCTAAACGTAACCGACCACGAATCCCTTTTTATAAAAAAAAAAAGAACGAATTTTTGGTTATAAAACGCAGATGTTCATTTTTTTTAAAATGGATGTTTTTTAAAACTCTTTTTAAAAAAAAAAATAATTTTTAGGTATTCGACCTACCTGATCCAAAAGGCCGATGGCGACTCACAAATTATTTTCAAAATTATTTATTCACATCAATTTCCCCGTCAAATAAATATTTCGTGCCCGGACGAAAACCGATTACGACACAGATGAGTGAAGTTCAGAAGATCCAATACCCTAACAGCTGTACATAAACAGAAGATATCATGCAAAATAAAGAGCTGATAATTTTTTTTTACCGGGGATCAATGGAGGCAAACATTTGTAACAATCTTTGAAAATAATATGTATTAAAATGAGAAGTCACGGCCGCAGTTTGTCTCCATCTAGCTGATTAAGACTAACTTCGTAGATAATTTACAAGAAAGCCAGAGAAGATATCGTAAGATCATTTTTGAATAAAGGGTATACGCATTACTCTTTTCCATTAGCTAGGATCCCACGTTCTGCTGGTTTCATCATCACACACTTCCTCCTTTTCGGTCAATATCACAAGTACTTTTAACATTACATTTCTTTCTTGCTTGCTTATAGTTCTCTCCACCAATTTTAGGGTACCCAAAAAGGCCCAATATAAATTACTGCAAGGTGTTTACCGGTTTCTTATGGGAAGAAACTCGAAATGAACAGGAACAATAAACCCCAATTAAATACTCACTTATTATACCCTCGACATCAAACATATAGTTCACGAGGCTGGTGTATATGACTCACTTTGCATAAAACAAGACTACATCAAACAAATTTCCAGGCTTATCGGACTATAAGAATTCAAGCCAAATAGAGATAAAAGCAGTCTTTACTATTTGTTTTTAAAAATAATGCGAGAGTTTTCAAGTAAAAATCATCAATGAAAAAGCACATGTGAAGGACAACCTTTATAGAACACACTGGAAAGTCGAAACCTACATCTTCGTCAGCCTGACTATATAATGTTCACATGAAACAAGATAGATATCGAAATACTTAAAAAGGATAAAATAAGTAATAAACCTATACAATTACCCTAATATGAAGGGCATCTTAACACCAAAACTATTCTACTCTGTACCAATACCATCCATTTTATCCGAACTAAATGTAAAGGCAATTGATTATAGTTACAACACCATCCTAATACTAATCAAAGCAAGAATCCATCACTAAACAAGGAAAATAAAATGAGTAAACACCATAGATCTATTTTAAACAAAACAAACAATATATAATCAAACTAAAACTGACCATCTTGAGGACTGCTATAGTTGACATAACCATAACCAAGGGACCTCCGAGTCGACAAATCCTTGCAAACCCTAACGGTAAGAATTGAACCCTGTTAAGATTTAAATATTTTATTTCATATTTATTAATATTCATTGAAAGTTGTAGTTGTTGGTGGGTTTGAATGAGTCTTTAGGGATTTGTTATTTAGTGGAGTTAGTGTCTTAGTTGGTGTTATTTTATAGGAGTAATGGTCAGTGTGTTATGATGTAAAGCCTATTTATAGGCCTATTCTTTTCTTTTATCAGTATGAAAAAGTTTGCTTTTCTTTTTCAACACGTCTTTTAGTTTTTTTCTTCACTTTGTAACAATGTTCTCTTTTTTTTCCTCAACTCTGTATCAGTGGTATCCGAGCAGGTTAACTTGATGGCTTCCGATAATTTTGTGCAGCCAACCATTCCACGCTTTGATGGTCACTATGATCATTAGAGCATGCTCGTGGAGAATTTTTTGAGGTCCAAAAAATATTGGACAGTTGTTGTTTCTGGAGTAGCAGAACCAGTAGAAGGTGTTGTGCTGACAGATACTCAGAAAACATAGTTGGAAGGGAGAAAACTAAAAGATTTGAAGGGAAAAATTACCTTTTTCAGGCAATTAGTCGTCCCATCTTGGGAACAATTCTTAGCAAAGAAACTTCCAAAGATATTTGGGATTTCATGAAGAAAAAACATCAAGGCTCTGCTAGAGTGAAGCGTGCACAACTTCAAGCTTTGAGAAGAGATTTTGAGACTCTACAAATGAAGGATGGAGAATATGTTACCAGCTACTGTGCCAGGACTATGGAGATCAGCAACAAAATGCGATTTCATGGTGAGAAGATGGAAGTTGTCACCATTGTGGAGAAAATATTGCGTTCCCTGACACCAACTTTTGATTATGTTGTGCGTTCAATTGAAGAATCGAAAGACATAGATGCATTTTCTCTTGATGAATTACATAGCTCCTTTCTGATCCATGAAAAGAAGATGAATCGAAGTTCAACTTCAGAGGAGCAAGCTTTGAAGGCTTCTACCTCTACTCATTTCTTAAACTCTAGAGGAAGGGAAGGGGAGCTCGGGGAAATAGAGATGGCAACAGGTATTTCAAATCCAATGATGATTAATTTTCGAGCAAAGGTAGGGGACGAGATCAACGTTTTGACAAATCCAAGGTAGAGTTCTTTAGATGTCATAAATTTGGACATTATCGTTCTGAATGTTATACTAAGCTGCCTAATGACAAAGAAAAGGAAGAGCAATCAAATTTTTTTGAAAAGAAGGAAGTAGAAACTTTGTTAATGGCTACTCAAGCTAATCAGGAATGTGAGTATGATGTTTGGTATGTGGATATGGGCTGCAGTAACCACATGTGTGGAAGTAAGTCTTCTTTTTCTTATTTAAATTAAGGTTTTCATTCTACAGTAAGTTTTGGTGATTATTCCAATGTGAAGGTGATGGGAAAGGGTGATATTGAGATAAGAACCAAGAATGGCTTTGTTGAAATAATTTATAATGTCTTTTATGTTCCTGACTTAAAAAGTAATTTGTTAAGTGTTGGTCAATTGCAAGAAAAGGGTTATGTAATCACTATTTAAAAGGGTGTTTGTGAGATTTATGATCCCACTAGAGGAGCTATTGTTGTTGTGAAAATGAGTTCAAACAGGTTGTTTCCATTGAAGATTGAAAGTGTGCAATCTTGTTTGGTAACTAAAGTAAATGATCCTTCTTGGTTGTGTCATTTTCGTTATGGCCACTTGAGTTTTGGTGGATTGAAAACCCTCCAACAGAAAAATATGATGATAGGTCTTCCTTAGATTAGTATTCCTTCCCAAGTTTGTGAAGAATGTGTTGTTGGCAAACAACATCGTTCTCAATTTCCCAAAAGGAAGTCATGGCGAGCAAAAGGAGTATTGGAGCTAATTCATTATGATATTTGTGGCCCGATAACACCACTTTCTAATGGAGGTAAAAGATACTTAATTACCTTCATTGATGATTATACTTGAAAATTTTGAGTTTATTTTTCACAGAAAAAATCAGACGCTTTTTGTGCATTTAAAAGCTTTAAGGCCCGTGTGGAAAATGAAACAGAAAAGACCATTAAGACCCTTCAAACAGATCATGGTGGAGAATATTGCTCAACAGAATTTGAAAGTTTTTGTGAAGTTCATGGCATTCGAAGAGAGTTGACAGCTGCTTATACACCACAACAAAGTGGTGTATCAGAGAGGAAAAACATAACCATCCTCAATATGGTGAGAAGCTTGTTGGCAAGAGGAATATTTCCAAAATCTTTTTGGCCTGAAGCGGTAAATTTGAGCATTCACATCTTGAACAGAAGTCCTACATTTGTTGTTCAAAATATGACACCCGAGGAGGCTTGGAGTGGAAGGAGACCAGCTGTATATTATTTTAAAATTTTTTGGATGCATCACTTATGCACATATCTCGGATGAGAAAAGGAAGAAACTTGATGATAAGGAGGGAAAATGTGTTTTTCTTGGTGTTAGTGAAATATCCAAAGCATATAAATTGTTTAATCCACTAACCCAGAAGATTGTGACCAGTAGAGACATTGTCTTTGATGAGGAAAACACTTGGGATTGGAATGAGCACGAACCAACTCAAGTTCTTTTGGACAATGATTTTGAAAGCGAACCAACTCCAACAACCTATATGCCTGAAAATTCATTAGAAGCAACTCCAACAACTTCTGAAATTTTGCTAACAGCAGTAGAAGCTACTAATGCAGCAATTTGATCTCTTCCTCGTATTCTAAAAAGGCCCGTATGGATGAAAGACTATGAGGTAACTGATATTGAAGATCCAATCACTCATTTTGCTTTATTTTCAGATTGTGATCCTACAACCTTTGAAAATGTTGTCAAAGAAGAAAAATTAAGGAAGGCGATGGATGATGAAATTGATGCCATTGAAAGAAATAATACTTGGGAGCTGATTGATCTTCCGAAAGGGTACAAAACCATTGGTGTAAAGTTCGCTTCAAAAAAAACTAAAGGAAAATGATGAAGTTGACAAGTGTAAGGCACGTTTGGTACCTAAGGGATATAAGCAAGAATATGGGATCGATTGTACATAAGTTTTTGCTCTCGTTGCAAGACATGATACAATCAGATTGGTGATTGCATTGGCGGCACATAACTCATGGCTTATTTTCTAGCTAGATGTCAAATCGGCATTCTTGCATGGAAACTTGGAGGAACATGTATTTGTAGAACAACCTCTTAGTTATATTAAGATCGAAAATGAGCATAAAGTGTATAGATTAAAGAAAGCTCTTTATGGCTTAAAACAAGCTCCACGAGCTTGGTATAGTCGCATTGAGACTTATTTTTTAAAAGAAGATTATTGAGTTAATCGATTGATGGAAATGGCCAAGAGGGGGGTGAATTGGCAATTAAAATTTTGGTGGAAGCTTTTGCAGAAAATTGAAAATATTTGCACAACGATTTAGAGTGGTTCAACTTTTTCAACCAAAGTCTACGTCCACTACCTTAGCTATCCACACTAAGGATTTTCCAATAAATTCACTAATTTGTTCTTTCTTTTTGAGGACAAAGAGTAACCTTACAACTCCCTCAAGAATTATACCCCAAATTCTTGAGCACACTCTTTTTCAAAGAGAAATACACAAATTTGCAAACTTACAAGGAAAACCTCACAAGGTAAGATGTTTGCACAATTCTAGAACAAGAAAATAACACTAAAAAATAATTACAAATGAGCACAAATGGTGTTCTTGAAAGAAAAATGAATATTGAAAGGAAGATTGGCTTGATTTGCACAAACTTGGTGTTTGATGCTTTCTCTCTTGTTTCTCTATGATTTCTTATTGATCAAAGGCTTCAGAACTTGTTTAAATCCACCTTGAATCACTTCTGAACGTTGGGGATCATTAATGAAGTTATTGGAGCCATTTAAGTATGAAAACAATTAATACAACAGCTTGTAGCGTGAGGGGAATCAGTAACCCTAATGGGGAATCGGTTCCCTAGTTGTAAAATTCAAATATTTCGACCGTTGAACAGTGGGGGAAATCGGTTCCCTCCGAGCATACTGGAATTCTCGGAGCCAAACCATTCAGGGGGAATCGGTACCCCCCTTGGGGGGGGAAATCGGTTCCCTCTGAGCAATCTGAAATTTTTAGCTTTAAAATGGTTCAAAATATTTTGTAAAATCGTTTTGAAATTATTTTAAGATTAAAACTTAATTTAACACTTGAGTAAGGATTTAAAATGAACTTTGAAATACTTTGAGTAATATTTTGATATTCGATTTAATATATCGAATATGCTTAGAAAAATCATTTTCAAAATTTAAATTCTTTTAATTTAATTTGTTATATCGAAACATCAAAATGTTTTCAACAAAGATTTTCACAAATGTCCATATGAGCACACACTTTTTGTTAAAATTGGAGATAAGGGGAAACCGCTCATTGTTTGCTTATATGTAGATGATATTATATTTATTGGAAATGATGGTGTCATGTTTAAAGAATTCAAGAAATCTATGGTGATTGAATTTGAAATGTTTAACCTTGGAATGATGCATTACTTCCTTGGCATAGAAGTAGTGCAATCAGCTAATGAGATCTTTATTTCTCAAAAGAAGTATGTGCAAGATATTTTGGATAGGTTTCAAATGAAGGATTGCAATTCTGTAAGCACTCCAACTGAGTTTGGCTTGAAGCTAAACAAAGATCATGAAGGGAAGAAGGTGTACAACACACTTTACAAGCAAATTATTGGCAGTTTGATGTATTTAACTACAACAAGACCAGACATAATATATTTTGTGAGCTTAATAAGTAGGCATATGGAGAATCCAACATAAATGCATTTATTAGCTGCCAAGAGAATCCTTCGTTACTTGCAAGGAACTAGAGATTTTGGGTTGTTCTACAAGAAGGGTGAAAAGTTAGAACTGTTCGGGTTTACTGACAGTGATTATGCAGGAGATCAAGATGATAGAAGGAGCACTTCGGGCTATGTTTTTATGTTAGGCACAAGGGCTATTTCGTGGTCTTCTAAGAAGAAACAAATTGTCACCTTGTCAACTACAGAAGCTGAATTTACTGCTGTTACAGCTTGTGCTTGTCAAGCTATCTGGTTGAGAAAAATTCTTGAAGAGCTACAGTTCAAGCAAGTGGAAACTACTACAGTTTTTTGTGATAACAACTCAGTAATCAAACTCTCCAAAAATCATGTGCTACATGAAAGAAGCAAGCATATCGATGTGAAATATTATTTTTTAAGAGATCTCTGCAATGATGGAGCAATCAAACTGGTTTATTGTCGAAGTAAAGACCAAGTTGCAGATATACAGACCAAGCCTCTCAAGTTGGGTACATTTGTGAAATTATGTGGTCTACTTGGAGTTTGTTCACGTGCTGCTCTAAAGGAGGATTTTGCATAAGGGTAATTCTTTCTTTTAAACTGATATCTGCAGATTTCAGTTTAAGGGAAGGTGTTAAGATTTAAATATTTTGTTTCATATTTATTAATATTCATTGAAAGTTGTAGTTGTTGGTGGGTTTGACCGAGTCTTTAGAAATTTGTTATTTGGTGGAATTAGTGTCTTAGTTGATGTTTATTTTATAGGAGTAGTGATCAGTGTGTTATGATGTAAAACCTATTTATAAGCCCCTTCTTTTCTTTTATCAATATGAAAAAGTTTTCTTTTCCTTTTCAACACGTCTTTTAGTTTTTTTCTTCACTTTGTACCGTGTTATCTTTTTGCTTTTCCTCTACTTTGTATCAGATCTGAGCAAAGTACTCAAAAAGCTGAGTTTCCATTATACTTGGATCCAGATCCCCAACATAAAGCGACGTCGGTACGAACTGGTTGTTCCCTCTTCCAGCTCCATTTTAACACTAGGGGTGTGCATTATCGGATATCGGATATTATCCGATCCGAATTTTTGGATATCCGAAAATTTCGGATACCTAAAGTAATGATCCGTATCCGATCCGAAAAAATCGGATATCCGAAATTTCGGATCGGATATCCGAATATCCGGATCCGGATCTGAATCCGATTTTGTTTTTTGCAAAAAATTCAAAAACAATTAACATAAATCAAGGCGTATGTGGTGATACTCATCAGATTCTCTAAACCAAACTTATTATCAATATGGTGAACATACCTATGCTGATCATTCCATGATATTTTACTATAATTATTGTTTTCCTATGTGGTTTCCTGCAGATGCTTAAGGAAGAGGTTGATAATTTACCCTTGTTCTGCAATTTAAACCATTTGAGAATAGGAAGCAAGCAAGCAACGAAGTTGAATGATCCAGACCTCTATCACTATGCAGTGTTTTTTCTGACAATGTCCTCGCTTGTGTAGTGTTTATTAACTCCACAATTTCATCTGCAAAGGTAAGATGCCTTTGCCAACTTTCATTATTTTCTCTGTTAATTTTCAATAAATTTCAATATTTTATTTTATTTTGTTAAACATATTTGCTTATATAGAGTGTTTGTCATTAAAAAACAGTCACATAGTAGAATTGTGAGTGATAAATCACGCTAGGAAGCTTTGTGTGCTGTGGTTTTACATTTCTGGACAATAAATGATACACTTGGAATTTATAATGAATTAATGGATTGAGCTTTTCTAAAGTTGCCAAGGAGTTCTTTATCCTTTCCTTTATACAATAAGCTTATCCTAACTTGCCATTAGATCAATTTCCCCTCGAAAAAGACAATACACTTATGTCATTACTTTGATGAATTAGCTACAGTTAACTCAGGATTGGCCCCATGATTTACCTGTTAATGGATGAAATATACCCTGGTTAACTAATACCTGGTTATGCAGGAGCCGGAGAAAATTGTTTTTCATGTGGTAACCGATTACCTAAACCTCCCAGCAATTTCGATGTGGTTTTTATTAAATCCTCCTGGAAAAGCTACAATCCATTTTCAGAGTGTAGAAAGTTTTGATTGGTTGTCTACCAAGTATAATTCAACATTGAAGGAACAAAAGTCCTATGATCCAAGATTTACTTCAGCCCTCAACTATCTGCGGTTCTATCTGCCAGACATCTTTCCAGCACTGAATAAGATTGTTCTTTTCGATCACGATGTGGTAGTGCAAAGAGATTTAACTGAAATTTGGAGTGTTGACATGAAGGGCAAAGTAAACGCAGCAGTGGAAACTTGTACGGAAAGTGAAGCTTCATTTCGTACTATGCATATGTTATTGAACTTCTCAGACCCATTTTTGGCGAAGAGGTTTAATCCGAAAATAGCCTGAAGCTCCACAACTCCTCCCAACCCACAACAGCTCTTTATCGAAAATAGCCCAAAAAAAATTTCGGATTTTCGGATAATCCGAAAATTATTTTTTACCTATCCGTATTTGATCCGATAATCCGAAAAAAATTTCGGATACCCGATCCAAACTATCCGAAAATTAAAAAACGGATCGAATATCCGATTTTTCGGATCGGATCAACGGATCGGATCGGATTTTTTTGCACATTCCTAGTTAACACTCCCATTTTGCCCCTGAGTTTGAACCTAAACCATGTCTCTCTCGAAGAACAACTAAAACCAACACACACAAAACCTTTTTTTCAAAGTTTTTCTATTTTTTGGGTTTTTTCTTCCCTCTCCTCTTGTTATTAACCAATAAAACCTAGAGAGATAATAAACAAAACAAACTAAAATCCCAAGTGCTTCGATAAACCTTGCTAAAGAACCAAACTTTCTTTCCTTAATGGAGGAGAGGGAAGGGAAGGAAGAAGAAACCGGGTATTTACCGCCGGTCGAGTAGATGCAGCAGCGCGTGAGAAAATAAGTTGAGGGAAAAAAAAGGATAGGTTTCTGAAGGAGTAGTAGCAGCTGCAACACACAACTGTAAAGAAGGGGTAAATATAAGTTGGAATTGTTGGTTTGTTTTTTTGGGAATGAAACCCTAGATGGATAGGAGGAGGAGATATCATCACCTTTTATTCTCAAAATCTCATAATTTGGTCCTAAAATTTTCTTTCAATTGACTTTCATATTTTTAATACTTCTCAATTTAATCATTTAATTAATTTTTTTGGGTAACAATAATAAAATAAAATTGGTATAAATTTGATAAATATTCCTTGGATGAATATGTGAATGAGATTCAAATTAAATTCATATGCATTTGTTAAGGAAAAATATTTGATCGACTCGTTTTGAGATTAATACATGGATCAATTTCATATGTTTTTCTTCTATAGTTATGTCATTAAATTCATAGACATGAAATTACTACAATTCTCAACATGATGATTATTATATTTTGACTTAGTCAAACATTGTATTTAATATAACGATTATAAAGATTAAGCTTGAACATGACAAGAATCATATAATGAGATATGAGTGGTTAAGATGAAATTTATCTGTCTTGTCATAAGAGAAATATCGTAGGGCCCTTCGATGATTGATATTGAGAAATTCATTGTCGTGTTTAAATGAGTTGGTGGTGATCAATATCATTTATTTAGTCAGTTTAATTAGGCATCGAGAAACTAGAGATAGAACGATATAAGGTTGACATTTTCCATGCCATATATTTTATCAAAATATCGTGAGATAAAATTATTATGGCATGAGTTGCGTTAACATGAACTTTTCATTTAACTTGGATACTCATAATGTCTTGCTAGAGGCAACTCATGACTTGTAGGATCAAATATAATTTTATCTACTATTAATGTTAATTGAAACTATAGGGTTTCACACTAAAGAACGGATAAGAGTGGTTGTAGTTATCACCCACAATAATAATTTAAAATAATGAGATTCTTTTAAATTATATTATAAATGATTTATTTATTATTAAAATTTAAAAAGTTAAATTTATATTTTTTAATATAACATTTTATTTATTTATTATTTTATTTGATTCAAATATAATATTAAATATTTAGTTGAATTTAAATTCCTTAACAATAAGGAACATGATTTAGATAATTATAATTTATTTTAAAATATCTTTTAAAATAAATAATAAATAAAATTATTATTTATTTTAAAAGATATTTTAAATAAATAATAAATTAATTAATTTAAAAAAAAAAGTTGGACTTAAACTAACCCTATGCTTGGGGTTTTTGCTTAATCGTTTTAGCCATCTAAAACAAAAAAAAAACCACAAAAATATTGTTTTGATAAAATAGAGAGATCTAGCAATCCAATAGTTATTTTTTGTTTGCGTGTAGATCCTTATAAAAGGTGGTTATCCCTTGGGATCGATTAAAAATAGAGAAAATAACATCAGTGACCAAAAATCCCATATAATATACGATTTTAACAAACTTTTTCCGGATTTGCCAAAATGACCAACAAAATCGCAATGCGATCGCTAATTCGCAACGCGATCTCCATTATCGCAAATTCGCGTTGCGATAGTTGAAAATCGCGTTGCGATGGTCTACAGTGTCGTTGCGATTTTCCCAATTCGCAATGCAAATAAGTAAATCGCAATGCGAATAAGTAAATCGCAACGCGAATTGGGAAAATCGCAATGCGATACTGACTATCGCAATGCGATAGTACAAAATCACAACGAGATACTGACTTTCGCAACGCGATACTGACTTTCGCAACGCGATTCTGACTTTCGCAACGTGATAATACATAATCGTAATGTGATTTTCTAAGCGCCATTAGTATCCTGGCCAAGTATTTTATTTTTAAATTCCAAACACGAATATTAATATATTGGAACACTGAACCGTCCACAGTATATCCCGTAATCGCAACTCATAACCTAAAACCTAAAATCACAACTCAGTCCCATCTCCATCTCTCACTCTCTCACCCATCTCCGACGAAATCCGTCCCCATCTCCAGCGAAATCCGTCTATCTCCATCTCTCAGAGCCACCCTCACAATCAGAAATGGAAAATCAACCAACGAGGGTTAGTTTTTTTAATTATTTTCTTTTTGAAATTTTTGCATTTATTATTAGGTTTTTCATATTGAAATTGATGATAAGTTTACTGGTAATTTCAATAATAGATTAACCATTTCACTTAGATTGTTTATTAAATCAACCGAGAATCGCAACGCGAAATGAAAATCGCAACGCGATTTTAGTTTCGCGTTGCGATTCTCTCGTTGCGATAGTCAAATTCGCGTTGCGATAGTCATTTTCGTGTTGCGATTTTCATTTTCAGAAACTATTCTTTCTCTGCAAATTGAAACTTGAATGAATTGCATTACTTCAACCAAAAAACAAAGACAAATACGAAATTCACAGTGTTGCAAATTTAAGTTTGAAGAATAAACTACTACTCTTTATGTTTATTATTGCTTTTGGTATATCTTCACAGTGTAGTTTTTGGTATATCTAACTTAGTATGTTTATTGTTTTTGTAGAACTTTTATTCGGCTCAATTGACCTTAAGAAATAAAGTCAGCCTGGCCAAAACAATTGCGTCGAAGCTTTCACCTGCACAAAGAAAAATGTTTGAGGATACATGCTTCGGGCCATGGCTGAAAGTACAACATCCCAGTGGAGATGCGATGTTGACACACCTGTTTCTTCAAACCATGACTAGCGATCTACCAGAGACTATACAACGTCGTGATGAAGAGATATGGTTTGATTTTCCACTGGCGTATACGTGTTTTGGGCGGGAGTTTTGCTTAATCACCGGTCTACGCTTCGGACACGATGATGTAGGTCGGTACACTAGACACATTACCGCCCATCATGGCTATCCCAGGTTTTTCCCTGAGCTGGAGAGGCCGAATCTACACGTAGAAGACCTGACAAGATTGTTGAATAAGAAAGATGGTTTTACTCGGATGGATGACGTCGACGTTGTCCGAGTATGCCTTCTAATTCTTTTGCATGCCGGCTTTTTAGGCAGAGAGGCCAGACAACCTATTCCAAATGATCTAATCAAATTGGTAGAAGACCTAAATGCGTGGAACCTGTTTCCGTGGGGCTCGTATTTATGGAAAGCTACATGGAATAAGTTATCGTCTGCCTTGGATGATCGAAAAAGTTTGCATGGCGATGGTTCCAAATACACTTTGACAGGATTTATTTGGGCCTTTAAGGTATACGACAATAATAATGTAAGTTAACATAAATACTACCATATGTTTATAAACAAGTTATTACTAGTACACGTTTAACTTTGTTTGAGCTTTTATATTGTTAGGAGGCCAACACTCCTCTACAGAGGCTGACACCCACGGAAGCTGAGCTTGCCACTGATTGGTGGCAAGCTAGTAAGCGTTTTTTTGATGGAACGGTTGATGAGCAGCCTCCACTTCGGGAGCCATCACCTCGCCCAGAGCTATCACCTCACCCAGAGCCATCATCTGATCGACCCGACTATACACCTCCACAACGACAACCATCACCTATTATGTCACATCATCGAGCCTCTTCTCTACCATCACCGCAAGATAGGCGACCGGAAAAGATGCCACGACATTTATCTCCCTGTTCTCCACCTCCACCTCAATGGGATGAGTTAGGGTACTTTACGCAAAGGCGATGGTGCATGGCGTGTTGAGGTGTCTACATTACGCGGTGAGGCCGCTCTACGTGAGATGGTAGCATCGTTGCAGAATGAGGTTCATACTCTACGCAACGAGGTAAGTTTAATATTTTTCATACTCGTAATTCATTCGGTTGATGCCAATACTGCTAAACTGTTTTTGTTAGTATTTATTTTTGGTTTTATTTTTGTCTTTTGGTTGAAGTAATGCAATCCATTCAAGTTTCAATTTGCAGAAGAAGAATAGTTTACTTTCACAACATGAAAATGACTATCGCAACGCGAAAATGGCTATCGCAATGCGAAATGAAAATCGCAACGACAAAATCGCAATGCGAAATAAAAATCGCAACGACAAAATCGCAACGCGAAATGAAAATCGCAATGCGATTTGTGTTTCGCGTTGCGATTTTGTCGTTGCGATTTTCATTTCGCATTGCGATAGCCATTTCCGCGTTGCGATAGTCATTTTCGCGTTGCGATTTTAAGTTTATTGTTGCGAAAGTAAACTACTCTTCTTCTGGAATGTTTATATATGTTGTCCTTTTAAATGTTTATATAAGTGCTTACTTCTGGAATGTTATCTGAGCATTTTGTGAACTATGATAGAATAATGACTTGGGTGAATACAATGCTAGTTTGAAACATATTTGTCTTTGTTTAATATCATGTCTGTTTATTTACTGATTTATGTATTAATTTTTTTTAGCGGCCCGATAAAGTGGATGTTTTACGTCGGGTTTTCCTTGCACGGCGGAGTTCACGCATCAGACGGCGTGGACATGTTATTACGTCTCCGTTCACCCCAATGGTGCGAAGACTCCGCAAGAAGAATCCCGACTCACCTGTCATCCCTCAAGAGTCCCCTCCAATCGTTCAAGAGGCCCCTATCCTCCCTCAAGAGTCCCCCCCACCGTTCAAGAGGCCACTGTCATCGTTGAAGAGGTCCCTCCCACCATTCCAGAGCCCGATTCACATGGGGTAATATATCGAAGTATTGAGAAACCCCCACCGGTTCCGGACATGATGGATGAGAGTTGGCTCTCATATGAGTTACCGGCTAGTACCCTTCCGGTATCTGAAGTGGAGAGGAGACAACTACCGGAAACAATTGTGGATAATACCCTTTGGGCTAAGACCGCAGTTGATTTTTATCTACATGAGCAGAGCCAAGGGTGTTACACTGACATAAGCAAACTCAACGATGAAATGTTTTTGTTGCTTGATCGGTCTTGGTGGGGTGTGCTATTAGGGGTTGAAGATAGTGGCTATTTCGATGGGGAGGTAAGTCTTATATTTGTCTTATATAATTTTGATTAATTTTTTAAAAATTAATGTAATTCACTAATATATGTATTTTTTGTAAAAC